CAGAGCGTCGGGTCAAAGGTCAAACTGCATCTCCGTTTGTTTTAACCGGTATGTCGCAAACTAAACATACTGACCAAGGACGATTCAACAAGTAAGCAACTGATACACAAACCCACCAGGGTCATTACGAAATCTTCTTGAAACTGATGGACAAACTTCTGTCCTCAAAGTGTCAACAATGGAAAAACCCAGAGCATCAGCGGTATAAAGGCGGTGCATCTCCAACTCGTCGACACTCTGCTCAACCTCTGCTTTGCCTTTTTTTGTCGGATTAATCTGCAGCTCRCCGGCCGTGACGTCATGAATCTGTGGCTCACCTCTCACTTCCTGGTTGTGGGTTTGTTTGTGTGCAGCGCAGCACCGACGCCTGAAGAATGTTCACAACTGGTCTCACCTGTGTCTCTGGACGACTGCTCCAGGGTAAAACTCTCCTGTGATGTCAGGGTCAAACCTCAGCTCTGTTCTTCTTATAAAACTCAACAAGAAATAAAAACACGTTTCAATTTAGAAACGCTTTGGTTTTATTAAAAGGTTAAAGGTCAAACACTTTTAAGAGACTGATACATTGACTGCTTTTATTCTGGATGTATCTGTGTGTGTGTGTGTGTGTGCAGATGTTCGGCAGCTGGAACTTTCTGGTTGGTTACTCTGATAGTGAATTATTCAACAACATCCTGAAGGTCACCGACAGCTCGACGGTACAAATAAAAAAAAACAGCGATGGCGTACTCAAATTTTCTGAGTACAACAAGATGTGAGTCCACATGAGAAATTTCAGCTTTTTATTATATTCAAACAATAACTGAACACCTTTAAATAAAGCATGTGACAGGATGTGAGGAACCTGCATCGACAGAATATCAACTCACTTCTTCCTCTTTTTAAAGGAATGGAAAATGCATCAGCTCGGTAGCTAACGTGACAGTCGACGGTGACACGGCAACAGTGTCGTGTAAGTTTCAACACTGGAGAAGGAGAGAGGGCGACTGATTGTTTCTATGGAAAAAAAGTTCTCGAACTTGATTTATGAAGATGATGACGAAGATGGTGGTGATGATGATGATGATAATGAAGATGTCTGTGTGTGTCCTCAGCGATGAACGTCACGTCTGTGTTCCACGTGTTATCGAGCAGTGACGACTGTTTGGTCTTCAACATCAACAGCACCGTCGGGGACATAGATCAGATCATGAGCGTCCTGAACATCAGCGTCTCTGGAGGCGAGGAGGCGGTGGTTCGCTCTCTGTATCTGATGGGTAGGAAGCTGGAGGTCAGATACAGGAAATGACTCTGTCATTATCTGAAACCTTGATGGATGTTGGGTGTGTTTGTTTGCAGGCCGGGAGTCGACAGTGAAGGATTCAGACCTGGAGCATTTCAAGCATCAGGCGATCTGCCTCGGCTTCTCCAGAGAACCAGACTTCTACCACGACTCAAAGAAAGGTGCGTCCCCCTGTAGCCTCACACATTAAACTCTGATATCACCAGCTCACATGACTCTTCTCTCCGCAGAGTTCTGCACCGAAGCAGAATCCATCAAGATTTTCTCCTGAAGAAGAAACTCGACGGTCGTCAGTATTTCAGACTGAACAACAGGAAGTAAAGACACAGATGTCTCCAAACATCAAACCTGTCCTCTGTGATTTTATTTCATTATTTACTTGAAATAAAAGTTCGTCACTGCAAAACTTCATGTGAAAGTTTCCTTCAGGATCACAGTCAATTCAGCTGCTTTTATTTTGAAAGAGCAGGAGCTGATCAATAAATATTTAGAGTTAGAAATTAGCTTCTTAAATTTAGCTTTAATTTAGTTTTTATTAAAGTGAATTTTAAAAAGTTTAAATTGATTTTTATTTTTGAATTCATTCAATCATTTTAAATGATGTTATTTCTGTAAGAAAAGTTTAAAATAAAAAGTTAAAATCGGGTTTTAGACATAAAACAGGAAATTAGTGACACAGAGTGAAAATGAAAAAAAGAAAGTTAAATCTGATCAGAATGTGAACAGATGTTCTGATCAGAGTCCAGATGTGACGCAGACAGGATCCGAGTCAACAACAGTGTTTACACACACACACACACACACACACACACACACACACACACACTTCGGACAGACGGGGGCCGACCAGCAGGGGCCAACTG